CAAGAACAACATGTATCATTTACTCCCCTGCCTTTCTCCATACCTCCCCTTTCTTTCCTCACACCTTTGCACAAACTGTGCCCACCATCTATTTTGTTGCATCACACCCAATTAAAAAAAGAGTGACTTTCCTGGTCTTTGTCTTTTACTTCACAGCCCTACAGCTCTACTCCAAATTGCCTTGCATCACATTTCTTTCTCTCTGCACCCTTCCTTTCAGTTGAGTCAGCCTAGAGTGAAGGCAACAGTCTGTCAGGTGTGAATAGACGCTATGTTGGCGGGGCTGAGTGCATGACCTATCTTGGATGCAATGCAAATATTCTCCCTTCGTTGAGGCTCCAGAGATCAGTCAGAATGTGAATTGTGCAATAACGGCGATGGCAGACACTGACAGGTCTTTGGACTGGGTGGAATTTGGCCAACCCCCGACCCAGGAAAGATTCCTCCTGCAAAATCACTCAGTGCTCCTGCAAGTCAGGTATTTTGTTCATAACTCAGTGAAGATAAAGACGATGGGTATAAGATGAGTACACATTCATTTTGATGTAAATAAGACTATAAGGGTGACCTAAATCCTAGAACGTGTGGGAGTGGAGATGGAAATTAAGGGTTGCATTTTTCATTTTAAATCTACCACAAAGCCTTTCACTCCCCTAGGCCGTTTCTCAAAGACAGCGTGGGATTATGGGATTTGCAGTTCTGGTTGAATTCCAAAACAGGTGTGTAAACCCTGTGTTGAGGCAACCTGAGGGTTTCTATGACAACCCTGTGGCAATCAAAATTACGTTTAAGCTATTTTTTCTTTTCCACTTTTAAAATGTTACCAAGTTCAGACAAGCCCATGACAGCAATGACTTAACTGTCAAATATTTGGAAAATACTTGGAATGAGTTCAACTTTTTAAAGAAAACTAAATGATCTGCAGTCCTATTTTTAGAATGTGCTTCATTAAATCAGTTGGGTTACCAAGCCATTTCACATTTGTATTAAAAAAGCGAGAAGTTAGTGGCATCCTGCAAGTCACCTTGGAACAGATTTACATGGTGATGAAAAACATACGGCAGGTCAAAAGCTGTAAGAGGAAACTTGGCTTAGGAAGGAAGTAAATGTTTTACCTGTGCAAATGTAACATTAAAGATCAACTTGATAAATGTTTCGCATGATTCAAGACTTGAGTTTACTCAGCTTTTCAGTTTTTCCAGAGCTAATGTACCATTCGGCTGAGCCATGACCGCACATTATGTCTTCAAAATAAATGTTACAGGAGAGAGAAATTTGAATAAATCACGCTGCGGTTGAATCTTAATCAGTAAACGTACATAAATACACTCACAGACAGTAATATAAATGAGTGTGAGTCAGACATCTTGAGGTCTGGGTGTGTATGGTCTAGGCCGTCACACACTGTGAGACTTTATAAGTCACCTTTATTTAATAGTATGCTTCTAACAACAGAATCTGTTGAGTAACCAGGCCCAGTCGAGCCAATTTTTTTTTTCTGAGCCACAGTCTTGTCCCTGACTCTCCCTGACAGAAGCCTCCAGCTGACAGCTTCTGTCCTCATCCTGTCTGGACCCACATGGCCTAGGCCTGGATGGGTGACATCTCCATACATTTCTCCTCCTCCTCCTTTTCCTCCTCGTACTTTTAGCCCAACTGTGCCAACGAAGCCTGTGTATTACGTTTTTCCTGTTGCTTCTGTTGCCAAGAAATGAAAAGGGATGATGGAAAAGAAACGAAAAGAAGAAATGAAACGGTTAAGTGAGAATGAGAATGAGAGAGAGAGAGAGAGAGAGAGAGAGAGAGAAAGAGAGGGAGTGAGTGTCAGTTTCTGGCATGGGTTTTGCTGTCTGCTCAGTTTTCACGGCCCGTGGTTTTATTAGACTTTCCGCCGGGCCGCGGGCAAGGTTAAACGGCCACCGCTGCCCCGTTTGGGCTCAGAACCTCTTGTTAGCCCCCCCTCAGCTCCCCTCGCCCACCTCTACCCCCTCCCTTTGGCTGTCCTGCAGTGCCGCTGCCAGTAAAGGAAACACATTAACACCCGGGCCAGTAACAGAGCAGGCTTTGTCCACAGCCAGGCAGGCCGGTCCATTAGGCCCACGCTCTGGTCCACGCCGTACCAATTAGAGAAGGCAGGGAGCAGAGCCACTCCAAACAGAGGTGTGAGCTTTACAAGGAGACTACAGGTGTGCTCAGGGGGAAATAATGGACTTTATTACTGATTGGGGTACTGTGCTACACTGTATACTTCTGTCACCTTTTTAAGAGCCAACTCAGCTCCACAGAGTTTTGACAACCTGTGTTTAACCTGCAAACTTGAGTTTCCCTTGGACATTGCATCAAATCGAACTCCTGCCTTCCAATTTATTGCACTTACCAATCTGGGATCTTGTTACATTGCTTTGCTCTGCTGGTTCTTAATACATGCTATATAGAGGGCTGCAAAGAATGAAAATTCTATTAGCATGTACTCATTTGATAATATTTTTTATTCTTTATTTGTTTATATTTAAAAATAATAAACCAACAAACAAAAAAAAAAAAACAACTGAACTGTCCATCTCAAGTTCCCAGGCATCAAAGGGACATTTTGAGATAGTGTGATTTGTCTAGTAAACATTTCAAAACCCAAATATATTTTGTTATTTTCCAAAGATATTCTACCAAGATGCTGTTTGTAAAAAAAGAAAAAAAGGAAAAATGAAAAGGTTTACTGCAAAAATCTAAATTTCAAAATGTGTACACATATTGCACACACAACCAAGACAAATACCAAACTGTTTGAAATAGCTAGAAATAGCAATTACTTGGGTATAATGTTTTAAAGCAAAAAATCAATTTGAGAAGGTAACCCATCCCACCTCAAGTACTGTATATGGCTTATTAAATAACCAAAAATCATTAATAGATCATTAAAAGCAAGCTCAAGTTAAATGTCCATTTCTCTAGTGGTATAAATACCAAAAATCAAGCCCCTTTATAAAGTTAGAGGACTTGCAATACAGGCAAAGTGTTAAAACTCAAAAAAGCAGAGACCATGTTACCATTACCTTTAGTCCTTAAAATGGTCCAAAGTCCAAAAGTACTGGATCAAATACCTCACATGATGCAACTTGATAGCATCTTCACTGTACACATTGTGTAAGTAGCTGTATGGTGAACGCCCTACAACCTGTGAGGGGATAAGAGCGTGCCAAGCTGATATGGGTGAGAGCAAACCTGACAATCACCTATATGTCAGTGGCAGATGAGTAATTGTTGGTTAACATCTGACTACACTTAGCAGGAGCGGTGGTATCTGCCAGAACAGATGACCTGCCAGGTTGGAGAATGGCCCCGAGGCCAGACGAGATGATCATGCAAAGACAGGATATGTCTGACATCGGAGGGGGTTTCCATCGACAATTTATCCACGCTTTGTGGACACACGCTATTTCTAAATAAACGTGTCAATAATTCTGATTCAAAGACTTGAGAACAATAGGTGGCTTTGAAAGTTTATCCAAGATTTGTAGTGTGATCCAGAGAGAGGCAGAAGACTGTATGGAGCCTCATTTAAACTTTATTAAACTCCAGCTCAACATGGCGACAAAGCAGCGTTGACACAGAGGCCATGTGATCTGCTACCAACACACAACATGCTGTATTTTCTTAAATAAGCGTGTCTAACCTTCCCTGGTCTGTTTCTGCTCAGCCTGCCCAGGGCTGTCGCTTTCCTATGAAATAATTACTACAAATTTGGTGCATTCGCATGATTGGGTTCATGGGATTTTCCTGTGTCTAAATGGAGGCTCTGCTCCATGTCAGGGGAACAGTGATACAGTGTCGAGACAGAGCTGTGCTATTATGGCCAGGATGGACTCAGAGCTAAAAGGCAACATTCATCTTAAGCATGATGAGTTTTAGAAAAAAAGCCTTTAGGAGCTCTTAAGAGGTCTCAAAGAGGTTCACGCAAGGTTGTGGGAGATTTATGTACAGTGGAGATGCTGTGTGAGCTAAAAATAACCAACACTTTGATGCATGCTTAAAGCTTTTCTGTATTTTCACATATCCCCGCATATCCTCCATTTTGCTTTTTGATCATAAAAAAGAATAGACTAGCAACAGTTAAACTTCTCAAGCTCTAATAAGCTGTTTCAACTAAGATGGTGGCAATTTTAGACGTGACACCCTCATATTTAGTGTTGATTTCCATTACTATAATGCTGTATTTGCGTTGGAGGGCTGGACCATTTATTCACAAGCTCTCTGCACCATCTTTTCCCCCCACAGCATGAGCAGAGAACATGACACCAGCCCACAGTGTCCCGCCAAAACACCCAAAAGCGTCTCTAACCCTTCTCGCGGCACAGAAATAGTCATTAGAAGCTCATTTGTTCTTCCCCAGATAATATCACCACGTGTGCCGACTCGGATGGGGAGCACTGCTGGGCGATCTGGCTCATAAGTCGGCAGGCAATGTGGTGATTCTGGACTGGACACTACCCCAGCAGAACCAGGGTGGTCCTGTTTGGTTGTGATTTTTCTGTGGAACTTCCCTCTTGCTTTTTTTTCTCCTGTTGACAGGCTGATGCTCTGAGATTTGTTTTGGCATACAGTCCAGATTTGACACTAAAACAGTGAATTAGAGAGGAAAATGAGAGAGAAGAATTCTTAAAGAGCCTAGTGGTTGTCATGTGAGGTGGCAACGAATTGATTTGACTCAGGGTTACTTTTTATTTGAGTCTTTTGCTTTGGCTAAAAAAAAGGCTTGGAACAGTAGTGGAGGTTTGGAAGGCTTGTCTGTGTGTGTGTGTGGTGCTGGAGTGTCATATAGAAGTTTTGAAGGAATCTTTGAAATAAGTCTTCAACACGGAGGCCTTGATTTCACTTATCTGCTCCTTGTTTCTCTGTTTCTTTTCTTTTTGTGTGTGTTGGATCCTTGTAATATTTATGTCCTGTGTAAACTGTAATTGAATTCAGAAGATGCCAACAAAGCATTTTTAACGTATGTGTTTTAGGTTCAAACTTTGTGACGCGTAAGATCAGCCGTTCTGTGGCAAAAATTTACTTGGGCCAACTGGAGAGCTTCAGCCTGGGCAACCTGGACTCCAAAAGGGACTGGGGCCACGCCAAAGACTATGTGGAGGTAAAACACACAAAACCATTACCACACACAAGCTCAGAGAAATACACACAAACTATGCGTGCACTGCTTCAGAGTTGAACAGGGTTCAGATGTGCACATAGTATTAACAGGCCATGTTTTCCCAGATCATTTGAGGCTGCAATATGTGATCTGCATGAAGCCTCCTATGATTCTCTGCCAAAAGTGAAACAGAGATAGAGAAAGAGAAGGGCAGCGGGAGGAGAGGGAGAGGGCCGCACGCTGAGAGGCCACAGACTGCACTCTGGTTTCCCACAACTCACCCATATCCCAGATCCCTTCAGGCCCCCATCACCATTCCCCGAACGCCTGTAGAAGAAAGAGAGATATTAAGGGAACACCGTGTCCTGGGGACGATGACAGAAATACTGTGTTTGTGTTAACGTAATGGTGCCAGCAGCAAGCAGAGAAAGGAGTGGGGAGATGAAACGAACAGTGGGGTCGCCACGTCTAGGAGCAGACGGAGCTATATGTTTCTATAAGTGTGTGTTTTTCCGCAGTGCGTGTGTGTACGATGTAGCACACATTCCTATGTGTGTGTCGAAGTGTGTGATAGGTTAACGTTGGAACACGTGTGTCTGGCTGTTGAGATGAAAGACTCAACGGGTTGCCATGTCTGACAGCAGACCTCTCGCAGCGGACTGTGTTATTATTAGGAGGTGATGGTGGCGGAGGTAGTGGGGGGTGCTCTTTGAGATGGGAGTAGGGGTGAGGAGGTTATAGTGGGGAACTTCAGTTTAACTGCAGATCGCAGTGTGGGGTCACTGCGTCAGAGCAAGATGGCAGTGTGGTGGTGGTTCATGCTGTTAAGGCGGGGCACGGAGGCATCAATGGCGTCAGTGAAACATCAGTCACTGTATGATTACGGGAACGCTGTTCATCAGTCATATCCAATGTAACCACACAGAATAATTTTTGGCTCCTGTGGTAGGAAGTCTGACTAGAATTGGAACTAGTGCAATGGAAACACAAAATCTTAGTTTTCAGGAAACAAACTGTACGATTGTGTTTTGCTATCATGCAATCGGGTTGATATCTGTTCAAAGAAAGGACAGTTGTATCATTTCTGGAAGTAAAGTGCTGTCCATGTTTTTACACTAAAAGTCAGTGGAAAAACCCAAATGGGCACCAAAGAGATTTAGATTCAGGGTGAAGCTAATTGCAATAAAGACATGCAAATGTGAGTTGACAGTGTTTTAACTTGAACAACCTAAGTTAATGAATTACAATCAAAATTGTGATTTAAAACAATGCAATTCACAAATCGCAAATCACGATTGTATTTCTTTAAACCAATCACAGTGGCATTACGTAGAACTCAGTCACCAATGCCAAACTGATGGAGTTCTTTGACTCAATTTTTAAAGGCCATAACCATACATGTTAAATCCTCTGTGTAACTTTGATGATGCAGTCTTGAGAAATACTGAGTTATACTTCAAATGCAAGTTACAGAGATACAGAGAGCAAAAACAATTTATTTGCCCATTTAGCTACTATATATAGAACTAGTTCTTATTCTTGTGCAAGTAAAATGTTAGTTGTTTGGTCTCATATTGCAAGTTTCTTCATCTTGTTATGTTACTCTGACTGACCGGTTGTGTATTGTACTTGGTGTCATCCTTGTGTTACTAGATTTATGTGTGCCCATTTGACTATCCAGAGCACCCTGGTGTTGAGACGCTCCAGGTTTCCTGTGGGAACGACTGACATTCCATTTTGGGTGAATCAGGCACCTCCTTGCTGTTCGTCTCCTGTTTCGGAAAGGCGGATTTCGGGAAGCCAAACAGAAGCTTGAGGTGCTGAGGGGAACTGAGGTGGAGGAGGAGAAGGAAAGGGGGAATTTGAAAGGAGAAGGGAAACAGACGCGTGTTTGTGGGGCATTTGTACATTATGCAAAAGTGAACCATCTCTCCTGCTGGAAGTTCACCCCACCCAGCAGACCATCAAAGGCCACGACTGTCACCATGACCCCCCTCTCTGCCTCCGTCTGTCTCGTTTTGAAATATCCGTCCAGCCTGCACCAGCACTGTGTTACCATGGCAAAGCCAAACAACTGGCGATTTGTAAACAGAACCATGTGTGTCTGCTTTAGGCTGACAACTGCTTTTCCTCCCTCTCTCTCTCGCTCTCCTCACCCCACCCAGGACAGGGAAATTGCTTGTAATTGGCTGTGGATGGATTGCGGGTGGCAGGAGGGGCGTGCTGTGTGTCTGCTGTAACGACGTCTGAAGGCGTGCGGCTGGCTGGGCATCGTCTCAGTCGGGTATCAGGTATCCATCCCAGGCAGGCAGACAGACCTGGAGCTGCCCAGTTACTCTCAATGGAGCCCTTTATTATTATTATGGTATTATGGAATAGAGGCCGGGAGCTGAATGCTTTAGTATAAAATCGACAGATAAAATAATTTAAATCCTCCTGATCTCATTTTCCTCAAAGGGGTTAGGCTTTGGACTTTCTCAGTTTTGTGACTGTGCTTGAAGCTAGCCTTTTTTTTTGACTGCGGTTCTCTGGGATTTGGCGATACAGCACAAATTTCTTACTCAGAGCGTGCCAAGAAGAAGAGGAAACCCACAGCAATCAGTCACTAACAGCTCTATCTGAACAGATAAAGATGTAGTAGTCAGCCATCTTTACCGAGGACTGCCCTCCTCCCTTCTTCCTCGCCTCCTCCCAGCCCTCAGTTGGCCCATGGTGGGCACAGCTGTTTGGAGCCCCTACCACCCTCTACATCTCCTCCACTTCTGGCTCCAGAGAGCCATTTCCAGTGCAGGAAAGAAAGTTGGCAGGAAGGGAGCAGGAGCAGAAGTTGACTTGGTGGTTTTGGACCTCTTTCTCCCCTCAGGCTCCATCCCACTTCACTCTCTCGCCATCTTTTTGTCTGTTTCCTCTCCCACCTTGTTTTTTTATTTTTCATGTCCCTCCCATCGCCTAACCTTTAACTATCTGGTATTTCTTAAAAGCTGCGTCACAAGAACAAACTGCTGGCAAGCAGTTACCACCCAGTTACCAGATATTTCCCTCTGACAACTAATAACCAGCTCTTATTTTTCCTCTGACTGGAGTTGGCGTTGCTGCTGTCTGTGCTGTAGTGGACTAGAAACTGTTGCCAGATGAGATGTGGCTGACCCGCTGACACACAGCACTGACAGCCCCTCCTCTCTGTTCTTGTCTTGTTCACATATTTATTTTCAAAATATAATTACCTGTGAAATTCTGGTCAGTGGAAGGTGTTTCATTGCAGTCGTCAGGTGTGTGCGGTCGCCCCTGTGTGGCAGTAGCTGTCTGATTCCTGGCATTGTGTGAAGGCAGCGAGGTGACGGAACAGCCCTGAAGGTGTCATTTTTCACCTCGTTTATTTTTCTTATCCTTTTTTTTTGTCTGCCGCAGCTGCCTCGCTGTGTAGTAATGGTTACAGATGAGGCTAATTAACCAATCACAGCGCAGATCAGGGCCAATCACGGATGATTGATGAGAGCGGTTGGCCATTCATCACATGTTTTTGGCTTGGGAGGTGACAGCGGGGGCAGGCTCTGGGCCTTCGTACAGTAAGCTAGACATTTACATCCACATTTTGAACTTCTTGCTGATGTGTCTCAGTGTGCAAAAGAGCCCTTTTTGTCATTTGGCATTTTGTGGGCATGTTAGATTTCATGGACACCTGTTTGACTGTCAAGATGAGACATAAGGGGTGTCTGTTTGGCAGATAGGCATGTTGAGATCAATAGCTTTGTTGCTTTTTACAAGGCTGTTGTTAAGTTTATCTTACATCTGTTTAGTTTAAACTAGACAAAAAAATCCACGTTTTCTGCCAAGTTTAATAGCTTATGGTCAGTTCCATATATTTCATTTATGTGGCCACACAACCATGTAATTTGTAGGCATGTGTGGCACGCAAGTTTATTTTCATTATAACTAACAATCCATAACACCAAATGTTTAGTGTATCGTCATAGAAAACTAGTGTCATTGGCTGGGCTGCTATCAGAGCTTGTGCTTGAAAAATGACTCATATGAGTAATTCTTGAAAATGCCACTGCTTGTGGTCTTAATTAGCAGGAGTACATATCAGTTGCTGTGTTTCAGAGTGAGTTTATGGTGTGTACAGTGTGGCTTGTCTTGCTGGGTGGTGATTTCTAGAACTTCTTGATTCAAACTTCATCTCAGCACGCTGATGTAATATTAATATTGTGATCCAGTTATTTGTAAGCCTTGGTATTTGCAGGAGTTTGGGTTACTGGAATACACATAGCTTGTATCTCAGGTCAAGATTTTCTGAAAAGAACGTTTTTAGTGCTGGTAGAAGCTTTTGAATATGGTGATCAGTCCTGTGCTACTTTGCTGTAGGATTGAAAGTGCATCGCGTCATAGAGGGCGCTGTCCCCTTTGTTTCATTGTGTGTTTTATATTCGTGCCTGCTTGGATCTTTACAGCAGTGACTCAGGGAGCTGATAAATACCTTTGCCTACTCTGTAAGGTTTTAATAAACACAGCTGGAGTGGTAAAGAGCTAAAATGGGAGCTAATAGGGCAGAGGAGAGGGAGCATTAGGTTTCATCACCAAAATCTCCTGACAACAGCGACAACTTCCTGACCCTTCAACCTCTGTAGCACACCAGCCCTGGCATAATCATAATGTCATCTCTGGAGATTTGTGTATGTATGCATGAGATAAAATAGATAATTTAGTAAGAAAGACACTGTGACTGCCACTGTTACGCACATGAGCAGGATGAGTAAATGACAGCAGCTGTGCGTGTTGTGTGTGTGTGTGTGTGTGTGTGTGTGTGTGTGTGTGCATGTGCGTGTGTGTATCCATGTGTGTGTGTGTTCATTTTGGGGCGTTAATTGCAGGTGAAATTTGAGCCACAGCCTTAACAGCAGCTCAGTAAACTGTAGTTGGCCCCCCCTCTGGCTCACGGTAATAAAACCTCACTGATCCTGTAGAAACCTCTACACTCATGAACACATACATGCTCACAC